CTTTCCCTTAAAAGCTGCTTAAGTCGTTTGATTTTTTCATCCCGAATCGTTTCATCCAAGTCTGGAGGAGTCCAAGGGAATGTATCATCTCGGAAAGAACCTTCCAGAACTGAAGTGTCACCTTCACAAGACACCAAAACTGGGAAACTAGAGTCTGTAACGTGGCTGTATTGAGGGTGTGGGTCATCCTGAAAGTCCCTTCCCAGTGATGATGGAGCAAAGTCTGTGGAAGTGCTTTGCTGTGGGAAGACTGGGGAGGGTGAAACATCTCTGTGCAGGCTGGAACTCGAGCTGGTGTTTTCTGGACTTGGACTTGTGGTTGATTTGACTGATGTTCTTCTCCTTTTTCCACTGTCTGACTGGGGTGAAGATTTTATTTTCCTCTTCTTAGTCAAATCCTCTTCCAGCTTCACAATTACCTGTTCAGTCAAGAAACACATCAAAGACACGGCTGTGAAATTGAGCATCAATCTGTGTTAGAACATCACAGTTCACTAAGCAAAACCACAAGTTATTTCTTGCAAGCTTCATAAAATGACTACATGGAAGATGTTTCCTTCAGCAATTCAAGCAGACATCCTTCCATGTTCCATATTTTTCTAGCAAAGATTCCCAAGTAACAATTCCAGAAGACTGATTTCCTTCCTTAGTCAACAATGGACTTTTGCCCTTCCTGTGCACACCTCTCACACCCTATTGCTGCTGAAGTTCTTTAACTGGAGTGTAAACCAAAACCTTTCTATCTATACATTATATGGGCCTTGGTGCAACCTGGGCTGGTGGCAGGTGTCCCTGTCCATGCAGGGGGTTGAATCTGTTCCTTCCAACCCAAGCCATTCCATGATTCTGTGATCTAACTTGATGGAAAATTCCCAACACAGAAGAATTCCTCACACTTCTATTTCCAAAAAGCTGCAACATTAGCAATTAATTCCATGACAAGGCTTATTCCTGCCAGCTCTTTGCTGATCTCCCTCTGAATGGACTTTATGAGGAGCAGCCAGTAGATCTGCTCTTCACACAGAATTATCAAAACATGAGAAAGCCTTTGAGTGGGTAGAGTCATACAAAAGAAAATGTAGAACATCATGACTCAGCAGAACTACTTTGGATGAGCAAAATCATTGTCATGCAGCAAGATGGAAGTCCCTTCCATCAGGAGAACCCTTCCAGAGCACCCAAGCAAGTTCCTGGCCAATGACAAAGGACTAAACTGATAAAGGTGTTTGTCACTCTAAAGATCAGACAGGTTGATTTATTTTAATTGACCCATACCTGACTCAGCAGGTACCTTTCCTGGGGAATCACCCACACCTGGTCACGGGGTGACAAAGTGCCCTGAAACAATGGCATGTGGCTGATTTCAGACTCAAGCCTCACCAAAAATGATTCTTCTATTATTCTGCCTGCACTGTTGAGCTGCTGGATAAACATAATTGTTTGCAGAAGGCTAAATATTAATCAGGACACAGAGCTATGGTTTCTATTCCAATAAGGACTATCCCTTTGACAGCCACCACTGGGGTCCTGTCTTCTTCAGAGTATTTGTTCTTCAAATTTCCTCCAGTGGAACCCAGAAAAGAGGACAAAATCTGGTTGTGCTGAAATCACCCAATGCTGCTGCATCACACAAGCAGGTTCTGGGAATAATTCTCACAGGGACAATAACAGTTCCTGACTTGCCCTGATGATTCCAGAGGTGGAAAAGTCCAAAACACCAGGAGCTCTGTAGGGACAACACATCTGCTGCTACCTGAACGTGTTGCAGTACATATTTAATCACTGAAAAATTCCAAAGATACCTTTTCCTCTTTCACACATTCCTGAAGTTGATTTATTTCCACATCTAACGACGATGAACTCCAAGAATCATTTCTCCTTTTCAAGCCGTTACTGGAACAAACCCTTTCTTCTGGTTTCTCACAGGAGGTCCTTAATGGTATCCTCTTAAGGTACACTCTCTCCTCTTTAAAGAGACCAAATCTTTTCCTTAATTCCAAGTATTGTTTCCAATGTGGCTTCTCTTGCTCTTTGTTTGGAATAAGCTTTCCCGGAGAATGCATCTTTTCACACTGGATCTGAAATACAGAAGCAGTGAGAGAGCCATCAGTCACACTCTCTCCCTCTCTTTTTGTCTCTCAACACATATCAAATAAAAACTAGTTCCTAGGAAGACACGTGAACCTTTTGTTTCATTTGCCCTTCTCCCTAGAGTAAGCCAATTCTGAGAAATGATGGACATCTTCTCACTTTAAAACTCCAAGCACATTATGGAACATCCAGTCGGACCAATAGACCACAGAGGTAAAAGAAGCAACAAGAGAATCACCTGCTCTACAACTTCAAACACAGGAAGATGATGAAGATCAAGACAATGTCTGTACAGGATGCATTTCTTGCTGGCGTTGAGGTTGAAGGTGCCACCAAAGCACCATCAACCATTTCTCCTATCCAACCTCCTTGTCACCTGAGCTCTTCATGACCTTCCAGCTCCATCTCACCACACACTGGCTGCCAGCCAACTGGCTTGCAAATTTTAAGGGACTGAAAAAGCAGCAAACATCTGATATCTTATTTTTTTTGGAGCTAAAGCAAATGAGAACACTAACACGTGGCACCACAAAGCACTGAAGGAAAAAAAAAACAAACAACTACTTGCACCATTTTTTAGGTGAGGAACAATCCAAAAAAGAGGCCCTACAGTCCACTGGAATGATTAAATCTCTACCAATTTGCACAGATATGCTCAGCTGACATTTCTCTTCTGCCTGGTCAACACAAGCAAATATAAACCAGCTTCAGAATTACCTTTCTTAATCCAGAGGCAACAAATTAATTCTGGCCTCTTGAGCAACTAAAAACTTGACCTATCATCCTTCATGGGTTGAGTCGGTGGGATTTGAGGCTAAGGACTTCTCGTGTATTCTCAATATTATGATCTTAAAAGAACAGGTAGGTCTAGCCTGAAGGGGGAAAGCCATTTAAGATCTCAAGAGTTTCTTCTGCCTGACATGAAACCATGAGTCAAAGGAGGTGGATCCCTCCCAAATGTGGCATGGAAAGAAGGAAACACAGCTCCTGCTGGTGGCTTCCTGAGCTGGTGGGGACTGGAGCTTAATGCAAGCCCAGAGGTTGGCTCTGGATGACAAACCCTGCTCTTCCACCTTGTTTTCACAGCAAACTTCTCTACTTGCCATCCACCCCTACAGCACAAGGGCTGTGCTGTGAGAACGTGCCATCAACACCATTAGAAGGCAGAAACTCCCAGAGCATAAAGGGCCAACAACTTTCCCTGTGGTTCCAGTTGCTAACCACAACTGGTCTTGTGAGGAAACAAAAAGTCATCTTTTCCCTGTGCCTTTCTTTCCTTGAGGCATTTTAGTGCAAAACCATTCAATGATTCGATCATCTTACTGAAAAAAACCCCACATAGTTGCTTGAATAGAACCCCATTTTAGACCAGTATACCCAGTGACAGGACAGCTGGTCACAAAAATGAATTCATAGCTATTTTATTCCAACAGAACCACATCAAAATCTAGCAGAGTTGAGAGGGGCACGTTTATTGGAGAGAGTTACCTTTTGCCAGTCTTCACTGAAAGAACAATCTTGCTTAAACTGAGGGAAAACAGCACTTGCTGCTTTGGGGGAATGACTCTTTTCTTTGCCATTTGGGGAGGGATGTTCCTGCTTCCCTACTGCTGGAATCATTCCACTTGAAATGCTCTCGCTGAGGGGCAAACTCTTGCTCTGGTTTACTGTGGAATTCTGCTGATTAGCACTTGGGGTCAGCAGGGCTGCAGGTTTTAAGTCATTTCTGAAGCCAGTTGGTGGAGAATTTTTGGAGTTTGTAACTGGCTTTGGATCTTTCTCAGGCAGCACCATTCCTTTGTTTTTTGACAACAAATTCACTACTTTATTGGTTATTTTTTTGACTGCAGAAGAATCAATTAGCTTGGATGTCTCCTTTTTAATTAAAGCATCAGAAGAGGAAGATGCTTGTTTGTCAACTTGGCCTGACAGAATATCAGAACCTCTTCTGGTCAACAAAAAGACTCTCCCGTTGTACATGACCAGAGCGTTGTCTTTAATTGGTGTGATTTTGGTTTGGTTTCCACCAGGGCCACCAGAACAGAGGGATAAGATATTTGGAGAGTTAATTTCTATGTTCTTCATCTCAGACAACATTTTCAGGATCTTGGTAGCCATGTTACTGGATGACCTGACTGGAATAAGACGAGCTGCTGGTGACTGTGGACTTTCTTGCACAATCCATTTCATGGGGGTTTGCTGGCACTGCTGACCATCAGGTGTTACTGTCTCAGGAGAAGAACCATTTCCCTTTTGTGCAGCTGTCATTATGACTGATTTGGAAGCTTCTGGGGCAGGTTTGGGGCAAGTGGGTAGCAAATGCTTGGGAATGGCAGTTTTCACTGTGTTCACTGGTGTCACACAAATGACTGTTGGCATTTTGGTACTGTCAGCTCCTCCAGACACATTTGTTGCTGCAGCTGCAAGGATTTTTTGCTGTATTGCAGATGGTAAGAAAGAAGCTGGGACAAATTTCACTTCTGCATCATCTGGGATCTGGAGGTGGTGGCCAGAGGGCAGTACTGAAGGCTTCACATTAACTGGAAGAGTTTTTGTGTTGGCCAACATGCAGGCAGTCTTACCCTGGTTAGATGAGCTGGTGACAGCCATGTTCTGCACTGAGAGTCTATCAACTAACACACAACTGCTCTGGATGGCAGCACCAGATTTGGGACTTAACCTTTCTTTTTCAGAACCTGCCCTACCACCTTCCTGTTTGTCTAATGTCCTTGTAAGAAGAATCTTTCCAGGATTAGGAGACTGGAAAACAGGTATCTTAACAGATGAAGGTGCAGTAGTATTGGCAAGTTGGGTCTTAAAAGTAAGATGGACTGGATTAGAAATATTGGCTTTAGAATGATTTGGCATGACTGAAGACTGAACTATTGGCACAAAACTTCCAGAAGATTTAGAAATGGGAAGTAATCTCAGAAGGTTTTTTCCATCTGGTCCCGTGGTCTGAACGACTCAGTACATAGAGCCTGCAATGCTGAAAAAAATAAAGAAAAGGGAAAAGAAAAGAGAAAACAAAAAAAAAAAAAAGAAAGAGAGCATAAGTGAACACAGCACAGACACTTCATCCATCTGCATCAGTGACCTCCACACCTCAGCAGATTAACCACTGCATTATCTGCAGGAATCACACTGATCTACCTGGGGTACATTTTGGGTTTAGCATTTCCAAGCACCACAGGCCACACCTGGAAGTCATGTCCTACTTTCCCATCACAGAGTAGCAAGAAATGGCATCTTTTGCAGGTAAAAATCAAAAAGACCCAGCAAACACATTATGCTCCAGACAAAACGTTCTCTCCAGAGAAGCCACATTCTTTTTGTTGCTTTCCCATCTCCCTGTTACTATTAATATCCCTACTTTGTGAAGCATGAATTTCAGGAAAGCCTGAGGGAAATACAGGCAAGATGGAAGCAGAAATCACTTCAGACAAATACATACAAAAAAGAAAGGAAGATGAAAACTACATTGACTTTGTGGAACAGGATGCAGGGTGACCAACTCACACATCTCATCTTCCTGCTCAACCTGCAGAGGTGGTTGGCTTCAAAGAGATGAAAAACCCCTCCAATTCTACCAAGGTCCACACGTTTATGAGAAGTCTAAGTGGAGGATACAAAAGGCTTAAAAATGGAGGAGAAACACATGGAAACCAGTGGAATCTGAAGAGTAAATGTAGATTATTTTTTTCCAGGTGAAGATATGAACTGGAACCAGATAGAACCTCATCAGATCAGAAGTTAGTTGTGACTGCTTCAAATGCCAAGATTTTTCAAGTCCACTGCAAGACAGAGAATCTTTCCCACCTCAAGGGAGTTGGCCTGAATGCAGGCACCTTCCCAAAGAGCTCCTGGACTCTCAGAACAACCTAATGCCCATCAGAGGGACCTGCCATGCTGAGAGACCCGTGACCAGAGTAAAGAAGAGACCAAATGAACTGCAAGTAGATTTCATGATCTTGACACCAGATCCAGAATGACTAAAAGGCAAAGCTGCCACTTTCAGCCACCAAGAGCCACTCTAGCTCTGTCCCACTGGTTTCTGCATTAATAAATTAACTAAGAACATGGACATGAGAGTATTTCCCAGCCCAGATGACATCAGTTTTGTGTTCTGTTCACTGTCCACTGGCAATATTTCTGACACTGAGGAGTTATGGTTTTGGTTTCCAACTCAGCTTGGACCAGAGTGACTAGGAGGTATCATTTCTGTGTCCCACCGCTGTGTCTGCTCAAGAAGCCAGTCAAGACTTTGCCTCTTCCATAATGAGAAGCCACAAGGATGCTCTTCACTCCCAGAGTTCCTGCTAGAGTCTGAGGGGCCATGTTCCCTTTGGTGGTCAACAGAAACAACCTTGCTATGTTCTGTCTAAAATATAAAGGTTCTAGACACACAGCATTTTCCTTCCTGTAACCTTAAAATTAACTCCCATGTCCAGCATTTTGGTGAAATGCCTCATTTCTGGGCACACTGTGTGAAAAAGGAGACATTTCTGTGCTTTACCACTGGAGTGGGCAAGAAATTGTGCAATGTTTTTCCTTCTCAAGTTTCATTTTGAAAATGAAAACACAGGCAATAACACCACATGGCTGCTAGAGGAGGAGGTTTTAGTAGTAAAAGGGAGTTGGATGGTTTGGAATCAGAAATGACAGTTGAGAAGTACAAGAACTGAAGGGTAATGATCTTAAGAGAAATAGTTTTGCTTAAACAAAGAGCAACTAGAAATATTTATAGGTTTGAAGTTAATTAAAGCTGAAATTACTCATTTTTGGAGCCACTTTAAACATCCCAGCACTACTGATATTAACACTGAGCTCCTGGACAGCTTTTTGTGTCAGTAGGAGAAGCTTTGAACCTCTCAGTGCTTCTTTAATAACCCCATGATCAAGAGTGTCAGCTTCTCTTCTCTTGATTAGAATGAATATTTGAAGGTTTCCAGCCAGCTCCACAGCCCCAGGACTGCTGAACCCCCCCAGGTTTTAGAGAGAAACAGGCACTTACCTCCACTCAAACTACCTAGCACTGCAAAGAGGCATCAGAGGGCAGAAGAAACCTCAGAAGAGGCACGTTCCTCCACCTGTCAAAGCAAGGGGAGACCTCTGACTGTTGGGGAGGAGCAGATAAGACAGGAAGCAAGAAAACCAGAGAGAGGAAGAGATGAGACACAGGGGGCACTGGCAGGAGTATCTTCTGCAGTTTCCAGTGCTCACCTCCATGCTCCTTTCTACCTTGAGTCACTGTTCACCTCCCTGGGGAGGGACTTGAAAAGATGGTTTTGTTTGTGCTACAAACAGGACCTTTTAACAGGCTGAGGAAGAAACTTCCTTCCAAAAAAAGCCAGTTTGTCTGAACTCCAGATCTTTCTGCTTTTCAGAATTACAGAAGAAAACCTTTCAATCTTCACACTCCAGGCAAAAGGAGCAAGAACCAAAATGACAGTTTTCTGGAAAATCACAGTTTTTTACTTGAAACAAATCGTGGGTACTTATGGATTGCAGAATTACAAAGAACTCTAAGTAGACAAGAAAGAAGGAAAGGAAAAGTTCAGGTAAGACCCTGAGCAGTTGTGCTTAGACACGTTGACTCAAACATCTCTGAAGGAGGAAGGAAAGATGTGGTGGGTCCAAGTTTTCAGACACTTTTGCTATTTCAGATACAAGTTGAAAATCCTTCAACGTGTCTATCTCCTCCAAGCCTTCCAGGTGACCCGAAGAAACATCCAGGACTGACATTTCATCTCATCCAAATCAAACTGAGCATCTTCAGCTTTTTCATACATTGTTGAGTGATGAAGAGGAGACCTAGAAGCTATTTTTCCTTCTCTCTGCAGGCCACTGTTTCTGTGAAGAGTATCTTTAAAATAATCCCTTCAGCAGAGTGAAGAAATCTTCCCCCTCAGGATCTCCCCCTTAAAGAACATCAGATTAATTCAGTTTAAGAGGAGGGTCATTTCTTTTCCCAATGGAAAATAATAACAGGAATTCTATAAATCAAGCCAAGTTGTACTTGGGGATTTTCCTCCATAATTACTGGAGTTTTCTTTCTCCTCTTCATCCCCCTTCACTTCCCTACCCCACAAATATAAATCTCCTCAAATCTGATACATTAACACTTAAAATACATGTTTTCTTGATGATGCTTCAACATGGCCCAAAGCCTGAACAGAAGGCAAATCCCTTGAGGACAAGGAGCTCATGGAATGACAAAGCAAGAAGGGGTGGGTTGGTAGAAACCTCATCTGGTGTCACCATGGAAACCATCAGATCCAGGTAGTCTTTTTCAAAAATTAAAGAGACAATTCTTTGACATTCACAGAGGGAACTGCCAACTACATGATACTCCTTTTGACCCAAAAAGGTCTTTTATTTCCTTAGCTCATTAGTCTGTGTGGCCATACTGGGAGCTTCCCAGTCAACATTGAGCAAGGCAGGAAAGTAGCAGCAATGGAAAGAAACAGGAAGATGTTTTTATTCCTTTACTTCCATCAAACTAGAACAATAAAATAAAAAAAATTTAAAAAGGGAACTATGTTTCCCTCAGGAGACACATTTTCTGTTTGCTTCACTTCCATGATCAGGTACAACCATTTCATTCTCTAAAGTTCTCATCCCATATTCCTTATGACTCCTACTAAAGCAACAGGCTCAAACAACAAAATACTGAATATTTTGCAATTCACCTTCAGTCCCTCATTCCTGCATTAAATAAAATGCCCCCAGAATTTTTTTTCAGGACCTAAAACCACCCACCAAATCCACACACAGGAAAAACCATCTAAGAAACAATTCTGCTGAGAAAAAAAAAACAACACACAAAACCTCCTCAAACTTCAATTATACTTCAAATTATTCATAATTATACTTCAAAGTTGCCAGAAGAAACACTCCTCCCATTTGGCAGAAGCTCCTTTTTATTCTTTACTCCTGTTACTTCAGGGACAACTTTGATTTTCTATGAATATCAATCAATAGAACCAAACAGGGACAAGTCACTACAGCCCTCAGGGATCCAACTTCAGTGATTTTAAATGGGTTATGAAGCAAAATCACATTTATTATTGATTTATTGTAATTTTTATTATTATTATAATCATCATCATCATTATTACTCATTATTATAATTATTATTGGAAATATCCATTATTATTACCATAATCATTATCATCATTATTGGAAATATTTATTATTTTTGTTGTTGTTGTTAAATTCAGCATTATTATTAAATTCAGCATTATTATTAAATTCAGCATTATTATCATTATTACTGGAAATTTCCATTATTATTACTAACATCATCATTATTATCATTATCATCTTTATCATTATTATCATTATTACTGGAAATATCCATTATTACTACTAACATCATCATTATTATCATTATTACTGGAAATATCCATTGTTATTATTAACATCATTATTATAATTATCAGTATTGTCATTATTTATCATTATTATTGGAAATAGCCATTCTTCTTATTAATATAACCATCATTATTATCACCATTATTTATCATTATTATAATTATTATTGGAAATATCCACTGAGGGACAAAGCATAATTTATTAATTGAAGTCTCTATCATCATCACTATCATTATTATCATCATTATCATTATTAGCATCCACTGAGGGACAAACCAGAACTTATTCATTGTCATCTACACTGATTTCTTTATTCTCTCATCCTGTTTTGTAGGGAAACATTTTTAATTACTGGAGAAAAAAATATATAAATCTGGAAATTTCTCCTGAGTTTGCAGGAAAAACTAGGAATTCTGTCCCAAATGTAGATCCAAGTTATTCCTTGTGCCTTGAGATTTTTTATCCTAATCCAGAAACTTTCACCAACAGGCAAAGAAACATCTTCAGTTTGACAACCATTTTGTGTGGAAACAGTTTTGAGTCCTGGAATATTCCCTGGAGGAGGGATCATTGGGATCAGCACATCCAAGATGTGCAAAGTGCCT